TGCCCTAACACGCTTCTGGTGGGATGCAAAACCGGCAGTACGAAAGCTCTGCTGGGTGTCTTGGAACGGACTTACTAGACCAAAGGAGGTTGGAGGTTTAGGTTTCAGAGAGATAGAACAATTCAACAACGCTCTCTTGGCAAAGCTATCGTGGAGAATCTTAAAAGAACCTCAATCTCTCCTTGCACAAACTTTGCTGGGAAAATATCGTGTAAATGCCTCCTTCTTGGATTGTACGATACCTGTGACAGCGTCTCACGGTTGGAGAGGCATAATAGCGGGGAGAGAGGTCCTTCGTCAAGGCCTTAGCTGGATAGTGGGGAATGGAAAGGATATTCGCGTCTGGACAGATCCTTGGTTAAGCCTTGAGAGACCAATGACCCCTATGGGTCCACCTACGCAGATTAACTCTAATCTCTATGTAGCGGAACTCCTTGTACCAGGCTCCAATCAATGGAATCTCCAGATGATCAGAGAAACTTTGCCTCAATATGAGGAGGCTATCAAATCTATCATTCCTAGTGATTGTGATATGAAAGATGAGTTGGTATAGCTGAATGATAAAACGGGAAGCTACACAACGAAATCGGGTTATGCTCTTGCAAAGATGAACTCTGATCCTGATCCTCTAGACCATTTTGACTGGAAGAAGCGGATTTGGTCCCTTAACACCTCACCGAAACTCAAGCATCTACTCTGGAAGGCAAATGCAGGAGCTCCTCCTGTTGGAGCTGCACTACAAACTAGGGGAGTTAATGTGGATGGAAATTGCGTAAGGTGTGGAGTTGTGGAAACTGAGATTCATGTCCTACTCCAGTGCATGTTTGCTATGCAAGTTTGGAACAAGCTTCCCTGCCTCCACCCTCCGTCCTATCTGCAGCAGCCACCGATGTCGATCTCAGAACTTCTGGACAGTTGTTGTAGGATAGTTAATTTACCTCTGACAGGACTTGGCCACACACCTCTCTCACCGTGGGTTCTGTGGAATCTATGGACTAATAGGAACAAGCTACTTTTTGATGACAAAGAGTACACAGTTAACGAAACAGTCCTTAAAATCTTACAAGATTCTAGAGCTTGGGCAGGAGCTCAGGAAAAGAAGAAAAACATAACATTGCCACATAATGTGGATCTCTCTCGCCATGTGTCTAACCACCATACTTTTCAATTATCTCATGTTTCAGGATCTTCATGGAGTGTCTACTCAGATGCTGCTTGGGACCCTGTCTCTGGAAGAAGCAGTTTGGGATGGCCCTTTCACAATAACATGTCTTCACCAGCAGGCAGCACCTTCTCAAAATTCCGCTCTGTCTCCTCAGCCCTTGTAACAGAGGCGTTGGCGTTAAAGGCCGCAATCACAGAAGCAGTCAACCGTGGCATTGATTCTCTTAGAGTTTTCTCTGACTCCAAAGGACTTATTGATCTTCTGGTCACCAAGAAGAACAACATTTGGATTCAAGGAACACTCTTTGATATTCACAATCTATCCAGTTCTTTTAGCTCTATCTCTTTCCAGTTCATCCCGCGTGTGGGAAATACTCTAGCGGATTCTCTTGCGAAATCTGCTTTATGTTCTCTAATTAACTCTCTGTTGGATGGGGAGTAAACTCTGTTTCCTTTCATTTTATTAATCAAGTATGTTTTTTCAATCAAAAAAAAGTAATAGATAACCCCTTTGAGTTGTATTTGCTAACATAAATTTGTTTACCATGATTATAGGTCAAGTGAAGAATGTGATTGATATTATCATTCGTGATTTTTTTCAGTTTTGTTTTAGTTTTTTTTTATCATTTGTTCTTTTGGTATTTTATTATTTTATTACATATATTTTGTTATATATTAAATTTATAATTTATATCATGAAAGCAATAACAATAGTTTCTATATTTTGATTTATTTTCATTGTTTTGTAAATTTTATATAAATCTTTGTTTATTCTTATAAATATGTTTCCACAACTATATTTTAACTACACCTAATGAATAACACAAACTTAAAAAATAAAAGATATTTAGAGCTTATTTAATACAAATATATACAATTTCTCTACATTTTTTCACTATATAATATCTATGAGTGCATTTTATATTTTTAATACCTATAAATTAAAAATAAGTAATCCCTATTAGATCATTCACCTTGACAGCCTCTTACGTTTGGTTTGTTGTTTTTCATAAATATATACATAAGTTTTAACATAAATTTTATACTTAAGAAAATATACCCTAATGAAATTATAATGTATATCTATCTAATAGTAATAATACAAGAAAACATTCTGAAATACTTAACTAACTATAACTTAATATAAAAAGGAAACTTTATTCACTAATATTTGAATATTTAATTATATAAATTTTAATTTTAACTATCTGTTTAACTAAAACAAAGTCCATTGATTGGAGTGAATATGTTAAAAAAAATATCTACTTTATATGTCGGATCTGATATTAAGCAAAAAGAAAACAATAAAATATCTATTATTGTTATTAATTTGCAGGAAAATTTATAACAATTATTTATATAATTTAACAGTTAAAAAAAAACATTACACAGTTATATAAATATAAATATGTAATATTGAAGCAAAGAAAATTTGTTTTATAATTATAGTCTTGAGAAAAACAAATTATTTTCTATTCTATATGCTTTTCGTCAATTATATTCTCTGTGTTTATACTTTCTAACTTAAAAATGTGTGAATAAATAATAAGTGATTAAATTTATATTTCATCCCGCACATGATGCGGTATATCACCTAGATTTTGTATGAATTTAAGCAAAGATGATAATCATTGTTATTCCGTTTTTTTTCTTTCTTAAATTCATAATTTTATATTTATCATTTTATTTCTTATAACAAATTAATCGATTTAATTGATTTCAAGAAATTATTTTTACTTATTGTAAACTATTTTTATATTAATCGGTATTGCTTTCAATCGTTATTATTCCATTTAACCCAAGCCAATAAACGATACATATGTAACATAGTTAATTTTATCCAATATATAATACATAGTTTCAAATTAGGAAGCCTTGATTATTTATTATTATATATTCATTTGTTGATTTTTAGAATCAATCAACATTATTTCTTTCCTTATATTCCAAGTCGTATTTAATTTTGTAAATTGAATATAAAATTAAAAAAAGAAGTTCTGATCATTAGCACATAATAATCAATTTCAAGAAATTATTTTTCCTTATTTTATACTACTTTTATATTTATTGTTTTATTCCTTATAACAAATTAATTGATTTTAAGAAATTAGTTCTACTTATTTTAGATTAATTTTTATACTAATCCATATAGCTTTCCATTATAAAAAATCGTTATTATTCCATTTAACCAAATCTGAAAAACGATATATGTGTAACATAGTTAATTTTATTCAATATATAATATAATTTCAAATTAGAAAGCATTGATCATTAATTATTATTTATTGATTTGTTGATTTTTGCAATAAATCAACATTATTTATTTCCTTATATTTCAAATCTTATATATCATATAGCTTGATATAAGCCCATAAATATAAAAGAAATTTTTTATATTACCTATGTTGGTTTAATGATATCATCATAATTCTATTATAAATTAAATAATTATTCAAACCTATGAATTTTTTTTCTTAAATTCGTACTAATTTTAAAGAAGTTTTTGCTTAATCTTATAGTTTTTTCCATATAAAAAACTTCAATGCAATTATCCAATTACACAATTTTTTTCAAAAAAAAAAACAAGATTGCATTATATACAAAAATGCATCTCCATTATATCTAATATTTTTGCCATTTCACGTTTTAATATCTATAGATATTAGATAATAATTTTTTAATTCACTCATTCCACGCAGAGTGCGGATTATCACCTAATTATTATAGTATATGTTTCATTTTATATGCATCTTTCAAGATAAGATAGTGAAATTTCGAATATTTTGATTAGCCTTTCTATCTTATTTCCTTTTATGTTATATTAAATTTTATAAGTATATGTTAGTTTTACAAAATCAAAATGTATCATATACAGAAAAATTATTACAATTATTTCTTTTATTATTATCATCATAATTTGGTTATGAAATGAATAACTATATTTTTATGCTTTATCTTTCATAAATTCTTTAATAAATTAAAAAGTCTTTCCTTGCTCTTAATTTTTTTTCCATATAAATACTTCAATCAATTGACCTATCCAATACACAAAATTTGTTCTTATAAAAAAATACAAATAAGTTTATTATATTATCTTACACATTATAATAATAACCTCTTTCCGTTATTCACTCCGCGCAAGACGTGGATCAACACCTAGTTGTTCTATAAAAGAATGGGTAAATTTAAATTTGATGTGAGGATGCATGTGGAATTGACAACTTAGCAATGGCATGACTGTAAATAAGATACATATTTAAGGTTACTTATTTAAAATGTTTCTCAAATAATAGAAAAGAGATGTAATTTATATTACAGCCCAAACAAAATAATGAAAAGTCTTGTTAGCGAAAAATATAATTTTAATAACAAAAATTAGGATGTCACATATCATTTTTATCCCAATGAAAAAAACCTAATTTTATCGTATAAGATTGTTTGAAAGTCTTACATTTTTTAAACTGATTATTACTTTTGTTCCTTATTTTTATGTTAATTTTCAAAAAAAAACTATTCTAGATTGTGTTAACTTATATATAATATTTTTTTGTAAGTTTATATTATTTGATATTAATTTATGTTTTATTTTGAAATAAAATATTTTGGAGATATTGATATTTTTAGAAATAGCAGATTAAAAAAAAAAACAGTTTGTTTTGATTGTGTGTGTTTTAAATCGTTGATATCGAATTTCAGTGAGTCAAGTTTTTTAGGTGTAGGAGAAGGGAAAAAGAGCAAAGAAAGGGCCCAAAAGAGGACGCAAGGCCCAGTACTCAGACCGAGCGAGCGAGCGAGCGTGATTCGCATAGTTGCATCGAAGAGAAAGAGAGAAGGAACCAGAAGAAAAATTGTGTGTGAGAGGGAGGAAAAATTTGCAATTCAACCTGATGAATTCCTCTTTTGTCTGAACAAATTTGGGTATCGTCTTCGATTGGAAACTGTTTAAAGAGGAGAAAATAGCGATTGCAGCAGCCCGAGGAGAAATTTTAATTTTTTGTGCCCTAATTTCTGACGTTTGCATTTTCAGGTGACTCTTGCTCAATTCTCTAATTTGAGGTTTCTCCTCGACAAGTTTGGTTCCTATTTATGTTTAGGACTTCTTGTTTGCATTACTAAAGTTGTGAAGCTGTTTTCAGGAAATCTTGTAGTAAATGCGGAGGTTGATTCCATGGAAGTAGGACTTAGCGATACTAAAGGAGGAGCAGCAGCCATTCAGAAGGCTCAAGCGGACCTAAGGTATATTGCAATGTCTACTGCTGATAGTTAGTTTCTGTTGAATAATGACAAATCACTTTGTTTCAACAGACTCGAGTACGATGTCCGCGAGGAAAGGAGGAGAGAACTGGAGTTTCTGGAGAATGTATGCTGCAATACTTATTATTATTATTACCCTTTCTTTTTTTCTTTCTTTCTTTTCGTTTGAATATCCTCTCTTGTATAATAGGGTGGAAATCCTTTGGATTTTAAGTTTGGTTATGCTACTTCACAAAGTGTCCAATCTACATCGCTTGCAGATAAGAAAGTAGTAAAGAGGTACTCGTTTTTTCTTTTTTCCTTTAGTGTTTTTTCTTTTCGATTTCATGGATCAACTCATGATTCTTTCCTATTTTCACGTACAGTGGAGTCAAGGATACTCTTCTCCGGACTGCATCACCACCTGGTGATTCCGTGGAGAGTAGTGGTAGACCTGGAGTTTCTGAACCCAACACAGCTGATAATCTCTTATTCTTTGATTCTGAGAATAAGTCACTTGAAGGAGACAAATATCCTAATAAAAGGAGTAGAACTTCTGAATCCCAACGGTCTTTCAAAGTTAATCATTCCCTGGGTAGAAAGGAGACTGAAGATTCTGCCATTTTTCGCCCATATGCTCGTAGAAACAGATCCAAAATTAATCGTGCTGGGGCACGGTCCGAGTTAGTTCAGAGTCGTGGTGGTCATGCAACGTCTCTCTCAGTTCGCAAAGAAGCTGTTGATGTAAAGGGTTCTGATTCCGAAGCAGGCAATCATAAGACTAAACAAGTACCTTGTCCAGGCTCTGCAACATCTAATGGTAATAATACCCTTTCAAAGGGTGTACTCCCAACCAACTTGTTAGAGACAGAAAATGATGAAATGGTTGTACGAGAAAGCATTGCTACAACAGAAAACAGTCCACTTGAAGACAAGGTCAGTAACGTTTATAGAAAAAGTTCTGTAGATGTGGCTTCCACAGAGACTAGTGTTACTGGAGTCAAAGCACATGCTGTCTCTGCTAGTACAGTAATAGATTCTCTCAGTGCTGTAATGACTGGTTGCCAGGAAACTAACTCTAGCCAGTTGAATGGCCTTGAGGATCCCAGAGGGGAGAAAGAATGCTCTAAAGATAGCGCAGCTGTAGAGGAAAAACGGTTAGATCAAGAGTCCTCTCATGCTAACGACGTTGAAGTAGATGTACACACTATAGTCGATCTCCATAGAGTGGACAAATCTGACCCCAACAGTATGCCTATGCAGAATGCTTCAAGAGTAGAGGAGATACGGAATCACACAGTTGGCGAAATGGTGAATACAAAGAGCGAGGACGAGGCTGGTGAATCTACCATCCTTACTAGTGAGCAAAATTCTGGGTATCAAAGCCAATCGAAACCACTCAAAGTCGAAAATCAAGATCATATAAGTACAGTTGCGCTGCATAATGAAAAGAAATCTTCTGAATCTGAGAGAAAACAACAAGATGGTTTGAGCCTACCGCAAACTGATATTAAAGTTACTAGTGGGATGGCTGACGCTTCGGACTCTGTGTCTCCTATAACGTCTCAGGCAGCTACAGAAACCACTCCTTGCAGAATTAGCAAAAATTTATTGCTTGAACCTGGCAGTACAGCACTAGAAGACGAGAATAGTTTAGACGATGGCTCAAGAAAGGCAGATACTTTGATGGAGGACACTATCCTTGAGGAGGCACGAATTATAAAGGTTCTCTTTTTCAACTTGTCTTGGTGATCTCAACCTGCCATGCTTTGGACGAAGTTCTTGTTACACTTTTGTCCAATGTCTTGTATGTCTGATATGCTACACTAACAGGAAAAGAGACAGAGGATTGCGGAATTATCTTTAAGTACCTTACCAGCGGATGTTCGTATGAGATCTCAATGGGAATTTGTCCTTGAAGAAATGGCATGGCTAGCAAATGATTTTGCGCAGGTGTGGTGTACTTGATCTTTCTGATCTGATCTTATCTAATCAAATGAAAACTATGCTTTTTTTATGGACTGCCATGCTGGTTATTACTAAGAACATATGGGTACTCCCTCTGTATGAAATGTCTCAGCCTTTCTGTTACTGGAACATTTTTAACTACGTCAAGATATTGCATTCTGTTTAACTCACTTTTACTTCTCGAATTTTAGGAGCGTCTTTGGAAGATGACTGCTGCCATGCAGATTTGCCACCGAGCTGCTTTTACCTCTCAGCTGAAATTTGAGGAACGAATTCAGCGCAGAAATTTGAAAAGCTTAGCTTCAACCTTTGCTAATGCTGTCTTGCAGTTCTGGAACTCTGTGGAGGTCCGTAGGGAGCATGAGAAGACAAGCTTGGGAACTAATACGGTATACGGCTGCCTCACATATCTGTCTTATGTTTTTCCTTTTCCTTTGGCACGCACGCACACATACACACAGACATATCTAGGTGACATTGGGCATTGGATTACTCTGATTTTCGTTGCATAGTCTTCCATCTTGAAGTCTAAGAGCTTGTTCTGGCTTTATTACTCTTATATAGTTTTATTACACTTTTGATCATTTTTTTTTGGATCATATGCAGGAGACAGTGAAGGAATTGAAGTCCGATAGTGGCGACAAATTTTCAGCTTCTGGTATCACCGAATATGCACGCAGATTTTTGAAGTTTATGAAGTCTTCTACCCCCCATCTGCAAGCAGCAGTACCGTCGACACCTGAGCATATGTGTGACCCTGGCATAGTGGAGACATCTTGGGATGATCCGCTTACCGAAGTATGAAATTCGTCATTTGTTTTTTCTGTAGCCTTTCGATTGAATAATAACTTAACTCTCTGTAACATTGTAACTGATCTTTTTCATGTGCAGGAAAGCTTATTTTATTCAGTTCCATCTGGTGCAATGGAAGCCTACCGAGGGTCCATTGAATCTCATCTTGTCTTGTGTGAGGTATGTGAGAGTAAATATTGGAAGGAACTCTGATGTCAGGGCCTTACTTGGGTGTTGTATAGAAATAAGTATATATATATATATATGTATGTTTGACTTTCTGAAGATATCTGACAACATTATCCGTCTCAGAAATCCGGAAGTAGCATGCAGGAGGAGGTTGAGACATCAGCGTATGATCCGGCAGAAGGTATGCGGAAAATATTTGGTTGAGCTTCACATACTGGATAAACGGATATTGATATTATTTTTTTTCAACTGTAGATACAGGATACAATGGTTACAATGAGGATGATGAAGAAACGAGTAGCTACTATATGCCTGGAGCTCTTAGATATAGGAAATCAAATAATTTAACCCACAAAAAAAGAAAAAACTCAATGAAGTATCATTCTGCTCGGTCATATGATCATGGGGCTGATCTGCCACATGGTAGCTATACTGGTGGCTCCAACCCATTGATGGGCAACAAGCTTGCCAGTAATCTCAATGCGGGTTCAGTTTTAATGAAGCGAATTCGCACTGCTTCCAAGCATACGACTGTGAGTGGGGACACTAGTGCGAACACTGGTTCTTTTCAGGATGAGCAAAGTAGTTTGAATGGTGGATCTGCCGTTCAGAAAGGCACTGAAGTTGAATCTAGTCGTAATTTTGAGAAGCAGCTACCTTGTGACATGGCTGAAACATCAGAAAAACCTAAGAAAAAGGTAAGGTTCATCTGGTTTGCAATATGTTTCGACATACATCTGGCTTGATTTTCATAGAATATATTTTATTAATTCTGGCATTACATGATAATATGCAATTTTCATCTTTACAGGGCTCTGCATATGAACAATCCTGGCATCTTGATTTAATGGTCCATGGTGAAAAGGTAATATTTTTGGTAAAAGATCTCGAAAGTTAATGTCAACAAATGACTAAGTAAACCGCCACAGAAGCTTTTAGCTTATTAAAATGATAAATTTGACATATGTTGGTAGAGCAAGCTTCTCTTTGACTTTTAACACTTGGCTTCTCTTCCTGTTTCCTTTCTTCATCTTAGAGTCGTAGTTATTGACAGTAATCTTACTTGAGATGGGAAGTTTTATGCTATTATGTAGGTAATTGTAATAGATCTACTAGAAAGAATCTAATGAGTTCTTATTTTGGCAGGAGCACCGTAAGAAGAGACCGGAGAAACAACTCAATATGAATGGTATCACTGAAGTATCCGCTTTTAACTTTTTGTTGCATGACTGCATGGGTTTGTTCTTTATCTGTCAGGTCTAACTGGGGGAAGCCTAATCTTCACCTCGTAGATAGAGTATCATTAGTTTAGGAGCTGTTGCAAATTACTGTTTAAATTGTTCAATTTTTATCATCATTAAACGCTAAAGTGAAAGTTCTTCAGATGGAATTAATTCTACATCTTCTGGGATTACGTGGTTACAAATTACAATGTTATGCTGGCATGTATCTCTTATTAGTCAGATTGCTTCTTTTTAACGAGTTGAGATCTCGATGACATTTTTAGCTGTATTTTGTAAGGTCTGCATGATCCGCATAAGAAGCAAAAGACTGTCAAACAATCACTGGAGAATAGTTTTTACAATACTATTCCTTCCCCGGCAGCTTCTCAGATGAGCAATATGTCCAACCCCAACAAATTTCTTAAGTTCATTGGGGGCCGGGACAGGGGCAGAAAATTAAAAGGCTTAAAGGTATATGCTCCGATTATTTCCCACTTCTTTACCATCTTGTTTTTTCTAAGATATGTCTTGGACTTAGAAACTTTATTTATGCAGATTTCTTCTGGTCAACATGGATCTGAAAATCCATGGACACTATTTGAGGACCAGGTTTTTATTTGATATCTCTGTTGAACATATAAAGATTGTAGGTTGCGGTACGCATATCTGAAATATTGTTTTCCACTATGTAGGCGCTTATTGTCCTGGTGCATGACATGGGCCCTAACTGGGAGCTCATTACTGATGCTTTGAAAAGCACTCTTAAAATTAAGGTAAGAGTGTGCGTGTTTGAAATTTCTTAAGATGTTATAATGTTAAGATGACATTGGGTTATTGACAAAAAGATATGATGACATTGGGCTGGTAAATGTTTTTCTTTTTGTACTTATCCATTGCGCTGGAAAAAAGTTTGAGTGCTTTTTTTTTTTAACGTTAACTATACAGTGTATATATCGTCATCCAAGTGATTGCAAGGAGCGGCATAGGATTCTAATGGACAAAACTGGTGGTGATGGGGCTGATAGTGCAGAAGACTCAGGAAATTCTCAGGCTTATCCATCCACTTTGCCTGGCATCCCAAAGGTTTTCATTTTACTTGAGACATTGATTTAAAGCTACCCATATGTTTAGTTTAACCTGTGGTTTCCCTGGAATTGTTTGTTATACTCAGGGAAGTGCAAGACAGTTGTTTCAACGCTTGCAAGGGCCGGTGGAAGAAGATACACTGAAGTCCCATTTTGAGACGATTTGTTCGATTGGGAAGAAGTTTCATCAAAGATTCGTACAGGTCCGTTCACCTAGCGGTTACCTTTTTGTTAGAAAACTTGTTTTTATGCTTGTTATTCAACGTATTCTGACCACAACCGTAGCTCCTCCTGTATGCCAATATGGAGTCCTAGGCTTGTAGAAATTCGGAGGGGTTTTATAGAATTATGTAGAGGTAATTGTTCCCGAGAATGTCATTTGGTTTTTAGCCTACCAAAGTCTATTTTGCAGTGTTTTAAATGGAGCTGCTAACTTGTTTTGCGTGTCGATTTTGGTCATCTGACTCGTGTTCTTGCTTTTTCTTCATTTGCCGAATTTATGCTGAGAAGGCATTTTTCGCGTCACTTTTATTTGACATAGCTGTCTGCATCTATTAAAATGATGAAGTATTAGGCATTGCTACAATATCTAGGATAATGTATAAGAGTTTGAATATTAAAACCCTAATGGTCCTGATTCTGTTTCTTCTTGCTGCCTCTGTATGTTTGGTGTCGCTTCATCCATCTTCCAGAAGGATGCTCGGGACCCTAAGCAGATAGTACCAGTTCATAATTCTCAAATTATGGCTCTTTCTCAAGTATTTCCAAATAATCTGAATGGAAGTGTCCTCACGTAAGTTTTGGTGTTTCTTAAGATTTATGTATCTCCTGATTACTACTTTTCCACTTTTCTAATATCTCGCTTCTCTACGGATGAAGGCCCCTTGATCTCTGTGATACATCAACGTCAGGTGAAGATGAATTTTCACTTGAAAATTCAGGTCTGCCAATACTGCCTGTGTTATCAGTGGTTCCTGCATCTGAAGCAAATCCTTCTAGCAACAACTTGTCAACCAGTGCGTCGGCAAGGTATTTTTCCTTTTTCTTGTCTGAATTCATACAGTTCTGCATCTCAGCTCAAATCACAGGTCATTTCAACGTCAAGTGATTGACTTTTTTTTTTCCCTTTCTGGGATGATAGATTCAATATTCCTAGAGGATCGTTACCACCAGAGGAACAACACAGAATCCAACAACATAACGTCTCCGGTAGAAACCGGCAGCAGCCTTCTTTATCAACTCCAGCAGCTGTCTCAGGACCTGATCATGGGCCTCGCCCACCTGGTGGAAAGGCTATGAGTGTAAATGGAACCCATAGGAGCTCACCGTTGTCAAGGCCTGGTTTTCAGGGGGTGAGCTCATTGGCAGTGCCAAACACTAGCAGTATGCTTTCCTCTGGGATGGGAGGAATTTCAAATACTGGAAATATTAAATCTGTAGGAAACTCTACGTTAAGGCCTCGGGGAGCCATGCAGCATATGATGCGGGTAAACCATCTTTTTCCTTATGATTTTGTCTAAATATTATTGGCCAATTGCCATTTTGAACAAGTTTGTGAACAGTTAATCTTATTTTGCATGAGTTTCAGATGCAGGCTGGGAAAGGTAATGGTCTGGGGATTCCGGCTTTGAGTTCTGGATTTACCAATCAAACAATTCCTTCCGTTCAGGCCTATCCAGGCCATCTTTCCCAGCAGCACCAGCTGTCGCAACAGTCGCATGTTCTGGGAAATTCACTTAATCCTCCTCTCCAGAGTCCTAATCGTGCAGCTGGGACACAGCAGCAAGCGTTTGCTATTCGCCAAAGACAAATGGCTCAACGATATTTGCAACAGCAGCAACAGTTTCCACCAGCCGGTGCTATGCCGCCACATGCAGTACCATCAAGACCTCAAGTTACTCCTATATCTTCTCCACAAAACAGTGCTCAATCGCAACCACTTGCGTCGTCACAGCCATTATCGATGCCGTCAAATATGACACAGCAATTAAAACCGCAGTTACCGGTTCATGGTCTGGGTAGGAATCCTCAGCCTGGTGCTTCGAAATCAAACAATCATGCTGGAAAACAGCGGCAGCGACAACCCCAGCAGCAATCTGGAAAACAACATCCACATCAAGGGCAACCAACTCTTGGTCAGCAGCAAAATAAACCCTTGAAAGGAGGAAACGTCATGCATCAGAGTATCTCTGTTGATCCCTCACACTTGAATGTTTCTACTATGTCCCCTGAAGGTACTGAAAAAGTAGAAGCGACAGTAAAAGCTATGCCTAGTCAGCCATCCAACCTAGTGACTGCAGTGAACACATATACAGAGTCTAAACCACAGTGTTCACGTACTTCCCCAACACAGGCAAAAACATCTCCCGCTTCTTTACCTCTTTTGTCCCGACATCATCAGGGGAAATTACTTTCAGATAATGTCATCCAAGACGAGAAATCAGCAGTGGTACCAGGTAACATCTTATCTACCTCTAGTCTGTCTGTTACACCAGCAGTTGTACAACCCAACAGTCAACATTTGCTGCTACACCAAAAGCAGGGCAATCAGCCGCTACTAACATCTCATAGAACTGTTCATCAAAGTCACGGCTTATCGAAGCAGTCCCAGGCTGAAAAATCCCAACGCGACCCACAGTCTGTCATCAATACCACCCAAACAGATAGTATTGGTGTTACAAAGGGTGTGCCTCAGGCGAGTGTTAGTTCGGTACGCACGACTACAGTTGGTTCCACTGCTGTCATTTCTCCTCCAAAAGAATTGGACTTACCATCGTGCGACTCCTCGGAGAAGACCACCACCGTTGTTTCTAAACTAAGCACTTCTATTACAAATTCAACCGGGAGAGACCCAGTAACAGATATGGCGCAAGAATTTTGCACTTTGGGTCATGGCGACAAGGCTGTAACAGAAAGAGAAGAGCAACAGCTACGACAATCTCCACCTTTAGTAGAAAGGACACCACAGATATCAGAACAATTGATTGTTCAAGATCCAAAACATATTCCTTCTGAACAGCAGAAGCAGCAGCCTTATCTTAAAACACTGGAATTAGAAGCAATCCATGAAAACTCAACTCACAGGCCTCCTGACACCAAGGTGGAATGAGAGATGAACCTAGAAGCTCAAGTTGTTGAGATCCTGCGAGGGTTACGTTTGCTTAAGCTACAATGTACAGGTTCCAACTGATTTAATATCTAATGGTAAATCTCGAATGGACTACAATGCCTTATAATTTTCTGCACACTTATAATGAATTGCAATTCTGAAATCAGGTTCGGTGAAAGAAGATAAGAACAATGGGAGTTAATCCTGTTTTCGATGTTCAAATTTGGAGAAAAATCTTTCATTTATAATATGCAAACATAGCAAAAATAACTATGTTCGTAATTCAAAGGACCTTTGACAGGCTCCTACCTTTAAATCTTTAGATGAAAGTAATTATAATTCCATTTTATTTTCTACCTTAAAATCAAATTTAAAATAAAGTCTTTCTGATTTAGCTTTACTTTTTAGTCCATATCGAAGTAGAAATTTGGAAACATGATACTTCCAAAAGAGAAATAAGTTGTCAAAAATATTTTTTTTGTTTATTACTCTGTTTTTAGTTTTAAAATGAAACAAATTTGAAATAAAGTCGATTTTATCATAGAATTATTAGGTGTTTGTAAGAGTTATATGCGTGCATTATATATCTATGCATTATTAATCTACTAGATATGGTTTCGTGCGTTGCATGGATTTTATTTAATGTTTTAATTATTATAAAATATAAAATAATAATTTATTTTATAGTTTTATAATTTTTCGCATATGTTGTGTGAGATTTATTTTAGAAATTAAGAATTCGTTTTTCCATAAATATTCCGATTAGTATTTATATTTTAATAAGCACATATTTTATAAAGGACATAAAATAATAAATTATTTTATATTTTAGAATTATTTTTATGTTATGTGAGATTTACTTCAGAATGTAGAATTTGTTTATCCACATAAATATTGGTAAATATTTATATTTTAATAATCATGGCACATAAGTAAATTGTTTTCAACTTTGTACCTCAATCCAAAAAAAAATACTTATACCTCAAAATTTAAACCAAATCTAGTTCGAATTAAGAATTAGTGTGAAATAAAAAAAAAATGAAATTTAAATAATGTCAGTCAAATCAATGGCAATATCATACAATTGTCACTTCTTAATTTGTGATTATAAATTTTAAAATAAATAATTTTTTTTATTATATATTGTAATAAGGTTGAAGAAGACGATTTTGGAGGTAATTAAGAAATTCTTCTAATTTCATTTGAAGTATATTATACTTAATATCATAAATATCATTTGGATTTTTTTTATAATTTTATAAACTTAGTTTCATTCCTTAAATATTAAACTCTACACAGTAAATCTTAAATTCGGATGTTATGAGGTTTTTTGTATGTAGTATTAAAAATGATATTCAAATTATAGTATTTCAAACAAATTCTTTAGTTTTTTCTAGTTTTTGAATTTGTAATTTTTCCTATGTGTACTTAATTTATAATTATTTTTGAATTACTTGTTTCTCATTTTCTACTAACAATTAGGCCATTTTATTAAATTTGTCTGTTATTAAATATTTTTCTAAATTCATTTTAATGATATATTTTCATAACAACAGTTTAATAAAATAGATTAGAAATACTATAGATTTAAACACAAATGTAATACGGTGACGATGAAACATGATTTCTTTTTGATTAAACACATAAAAATCATTTATGTTGATAATAATAATAATCTATTTTTTATGACCAAACACAAAAATATACCAAACATGTGTTTGTTTTTGTATGAAAAACACATACAAATACCAATCTAAAGACCAATCAGGACAAAATCCTATTTTTGATTTATTTTTAGTTAATTAAATTGTTTCAATATCATGTTTATTATCAAAATCTTTATGTTTTAAATTACTATTAAATAATTTTTTAAAATTTTCTTTTTTTCTTATGATTTTGAAAAAAAAAATTATACTTTCTAAACTCTTTTATTTATAACTTAAAAACAAAAATACTATCAAATACTATTTTACATTTTTGTTTAACATTTTAGAAAAACATTACTATCATACAATCAATTACAATTATCTTTTATTTATAACTTAAAGACAACATAATCTGAATTCAGAGAAAAGTGTAGAGGAATTAAAGGAAAAGGTAGATCGGTTATCCTCCAATGATGATGCCACTACGGAGGAGATAGCGGAGGCTCTAAAAGAATTGTCTGATGCTCTTAAGACGGAGGAATTATTCTAGAAGCAGAAGTGTAGGGTGTTCTGGTTACGGGAGGGAGATCGAAACACAAAATTTTTTCATGCTTTAACGAAGCAGCGAAGAGCGAGGAACAGGATAACCCAACTTTTAGATGCAGAGGGGAACATAGTGGAGGATGAGGAAGGTCTGGTAGCCATTGCTACCAGTTACTTTCGACATCTTTCAATCATCAAACCCTGAGGATATTGAAGACGCACTTTCAGAAGTAACCACTACAATTACACCTGCAGACAATGAGAGGCTCATAGCTCCAGTCACGGAATGGGAAGTCAAATTAGCCTTGTTTGCTATGCATCCTGAGAAGGCTCCTGGACCTGACGGAATGACTGCTTTGTTCTATCAAAATTTTTGGGATATCGTTAAGGATGATTTAACTCGTATGGTTAATGAATTCTTATTTCAAGGCACTATTCCGACAGGGCTCACTGACACTAATATATGCCTTATACCAAAAGTGGACAAGCCAAATCAGATGAGTCAACTGCGACCCATTAGTCTTTGTAATGTTTGTTACAAGATTATATCAAAGGTTTTATGCCAAAGATTGAAAAAGGTTCTTCCCGATAGGATTTCTGAAACCCAGTCAGCCTTTGTTGCTAGAAGACAGATTTCTGATAACATAATGATTGCCCAGGAGTTATTTCACGCTTTAAGAACAAAACCAAGTGGGCGCAGTAAGAGGATGGCTATTAAGACAGACATGAGTAAGGCATATGATCGTATGGAATGGTCTTTCATTGAAGCCACCATGAGGAAGATGGGTTTCTCTGATATCTGGATTACTTGGATTATGCGTTGCATAACGACAGTAAAGTATAAGGTACTCATGAATGGACAGCCACGAGGAAATATTGTCCCGGAGAGAGGTCTCTGTCAGGGGGATCCTTTGTCCCCTTTCATCTTTATTCTGTGCACGGAAGCGCTCGTTAGCCTTCTTAATCACGCAGAGAATCAGGGAAAGATAACGGGGATACGCATCACGCGTGCGTGTCCTTCGGTGTCCCACCTGCTATTTGCTGATGATAGTCTGTTTTTCTGTAAGGCGGAGCCCCGTGAATGTGAAGAAGTGATGAAAGTGGTTACAAAATATGGAAAAGCCTCGGGTCAGTGCATCAATTTTGACAAGTCTTCTTTACTCTTTGGTAAGAGGATCGGTCAAGAGGTAAGGCAGGATATCAAAGACACACTTGGGATACAGAATGACACAGGAATGGGATCCTACCTAGGGATACCAGAGGACATCAGCGGTTCGAAATGCAAGCTGTTTGCTTTCCTGAAAGACAAACTTCGGAACAGAGTGAATGGATGGATGGGTAGATGGTTGTCCAAAGGAGGAAAAGAAGTTATGATCAAGTCAATTTTGTTGGCTCTTCCAACATATGTTATGTCTTGTTTCTTGCTCCCATTGGAGATATGTGACGCCTTGGCTAGTGCCATTGCACAGTTTTGGTGGAGCTCAAACCCACCAAAGAGAGGTCTACATTGGACAACATCGGATAAGTTGTGTAAGCCCAAGGAGGAAGGTGGAATTGGATTCAGAATGATACATGAGTTTAACCTGGCACTACTAGGAAAGCAGCTATGGAGGCTGGCACAAAATCCGGATTCACTGGTTGCTCGTGTTATGAGAGGGAGATATTATAGACAAAGTTCGCCTTTGCGAAAGCACGCTGTCAGTAGTCCTTCGTATGTGTGGACAAGTATCTCGGCTGCAAGGGAGTTATTGCTATTGGGGATTAGACAGAAAATCCACTCAGGGTATGAAGTTAAGGTATGGGAGGATCCGTGGATTCCCACAATCCCAGCAAGACCAGCGCATGCATCAGCCCCGGTGCTGAACCCAAATATGAGAGTGAGCGATCTTATCAATCAAGAAACAAAGTCTTGGGACCTGGACCGGCCAGCACTATATGTTGACACTGATGATATACCTCTCATAAGGAGTATGGCAATCAGTTCAACCCACCGTAGAGATATATTCTGCTGGAGTTACACTAAGAGTGGGCAATACACAGTAAAGTCCGGCTATTGGGTAGCTCGTAATGTACTGATGAAGGAGGAGGAGAATTTGGTAGATGAACCTAGCTTTACAAGGCTTCAAGCACAAGTTTGGAAAGTTAAGGCACCCCCGAAGATGTGCCATCTTATGTGGCAGATCATTTCGGGACATGTGGCTGTTACGAGCGCTTTGAATCATAGACATATGAGATGCGATAACTTCTGCCCACGGTGTGGAGAACCGGATGAAACAATTGCACATGCAATTTTCCAATGCCCACCGGCTTTACAGGTATGGGCATTATCTTCTATACCTTCCAGCTCGGCTTTGTTTCCCTTGGAAAGCACCTATGCGAATATGGATTATCTATTCTGGCGGAAGAAAGTCATCTGTGGGCCAGAACTAGAAAAGGATCCTTATCCTTGGCTAATATGGTACATTTGGAAGGCTCGGAATGACAAGTTGTTCAGAGGAATAGATAGAGACCCGTTGGAGTTGGCCCGGTATGCAGAGAGCGAGTGTCTTGCCTGGTTCCAAGCCAATGAGCAGGGGATTGAGGTTACACAAGAGGATGGTAATACAGATCCACATGCCATAAGCCTATGTGATATTTGCATGATAGATGGTTCTTGGACCTCTGTAGATCAATTTTCCGGCTGTGGTTGGGACTGGAAGGATAGCATGGGTGACAGTCAATTAATGGGGATGCGTAATGTGAGTAGAATGGAGTCGGCGTTGCATTCGGAGCTGAAAGCGCTGCGGTGGGCAATGGAGAACATGCTTCAAC